CATGCTCAAATTGGTTAGTCTCTAAGGTGCCACAAGTCCTCCTTTTCTTTTTGCGAATACAGACTAACACGGCTGTTACTCTGAAAAAAAGACTCCCCTCAGAGGCAAAAGGAGAGACAGAACGGAGGAGAAAGAAGGTGGGGGAGAAAAATGAGCCATGGGAGTGCAGGGACAGCAGGAACCTGGACTCTCAGCCCAGGGGCTGCAGAGGTCTCAGCTGGAGGTGCTGTGGTCATCGGTTCCCTCTCTGGCCTGGTGTGATTAGAAGATCGCTCAGGGCCAGGGCAATCAAGGCCTGGTGTTGCCATGGTGGGTCACCTGGGAAGCTGGGGGTGGCAGCGGCCAGGATGGTGAAACTTCCACCCTCCACTCCTCTGCGCCCCGGCTTTTCAATGACCCTCAGATAAACACTGGCCTGAGAGAGCAGCAATCTCCTGCCATTGACACTTCCCAGTCATAGCACGTAGGCCAGTCCAATGAGAATTGTTGAGCAGGGGGTTGTGACCTCCTGAGGTCCCTTCCAACCCTGATATGCTATGATATTCTATAAACCACCCACCATCTCTCCAGTCGGCCAGTGTGTTGCCATGCCAACTGCGACAGCCGGCCCCATGGAGCCCCCTTAACAGCATCCACTTAGAACCCGTCCCCTGGAGGCACTCCAGGGAGCTCAGGGAGTCGACTCATAGAGTGAAATCTGCACACGGCAACGAGAGACCCTGACTCCATGGGGATGTTCTCACCCCTTCCAGCACCTTCCTTCCCCTGCTCCTTCCCCCCAGCACCTCTCCCCGCTCCTCCCCCAGCACCTCCCCCCCACCACTTTCCCCCACTCCTCCCCCCAGCACTTCTCATCCCCTCTCCTCCCACCCCACCCAGCACCTCCCCACTCCTCCCATCCCACCCAGTACCTCCCCTCACTCCTCCCACCCGTCTCATCCCCCGGTCCTCCCCCCAGCACCTCCCCCATTCTTCCCACCCCTCCCAGCACGTCCCACCCCCCAGTCCTCCCACTCCAACGAGGACCTCCCCCCCGCTCCTCCCCCCAGCACCTCCCATCCCCTCTCCTCCCACCCCACCCAGCACCTCCCCTTGCTCCTCCCACCCCTCTCACCCACCGGTCCTCCCCCCAGCACCTCCCACTCCCCACTCCTCCTACCCACCCAGCACTTCCCCACCCCGCATTCCTCCCTACCCCTTCCATACCTCCCCACTCCTACCTCCAGCACCTCCCACTCCTCCCACCCTGCCAACACTTTCCCCCTCCTCCCGCCAGCATTTCCCAACCCCTCCCCGTCGCCCCTTCTAGCACATTCCTTCCCCCCTACTTAGCCCCCAGCACCTTCCCACCCCCCACTCTTCCCCATATCTCCACTTCTCTCCTCCCAGCCCTTCCCCAGGCCCCCACTCCTCCCCTCACCCCATCTAGCACTGACGATCAGGAGCACCAGCATTGTAAATGTATTAAACAGGCCTGAAAATTCTGATGCCAGCCAATGACAAGCCAGCACTACTCAGAGGCCACGGCTAGCCCTGACCTCTGACACAGCTTAGAAAGGCCCCCTGGACTTTGCTTTGGCCCATGTTTACCCTGCCCTAATCACCAGACACCTCTCCTGCCTCCTGGATTAATGGGGATTTCCTCCCCTCCCTCTTCACGGGTAACAACCCTGAGGTGTGTTACTGCGTCTGGCCATGCAGGATTATTGGAGCAGAGGCTGTTAGTACAACTGGGGGGAGCAACCTCCATCCTATCCCTGTTTCCATACACTTTAGGGGCTGGAGCTGTCAGCTGTGGTTGTGTCCAAGGTGCATCGTGCGTTGTTGTGTTGGGAAAAGGCCCTTAAAAATTCTAATTATGATGCCCAACAGGGGCACTTCACTTAAGTGCCCAATGCCCGGGCCTTGCCGGGCCGTTTGATCTCCTGTACAGAATCATAGAATCATAGAATATCAGGGTTGGAAGGGACCTCAGGAGGTCTAGTCAGGGGTGAAAGTAAGTCAAGTGACTTACCGGTACCCTGGGGCCAGCTCTGGCTCCCGGAAGGGGTGGGGCCTAGGGCAGAAGGGGCAGGGTTGAGGGGGTCAGAGCCAGCCCCAGCCCACCCTGTAAGGTAAGTGCCCCCCCACCAGGGTAGCAGCAGCAGCCTGGGGCTCCGGGGGCTATTTAAAGGGCCCAGGGCTCCCCTCTTCTACCGCTCTGGCCCTTTAAATAGCCGCCAGAGCCCTGGGGAAGCGTCGGGACTCCAGCGGCTATTTAAAGGACCGGAGCGGCAGAGGCAGCTGGAGCGCCGGCCCTTTAAATAGCCCCTGAAGACCCCGCTACCCCAGGGCTCCGGGGGTTATTTAAAGGGCCCGCGGCCCTCCTGCTTCTACCGCCCCGGTCCTTTAAATAACCGCTGGAGCCCTGAAATAGCGGCGGCGGGGCTCGAGTGGCTATTTAAAGGGCTCGGGCGGTAGAAGCAGGGGAGTCCCAGGCCCTTTAAATAGCTGCCGGAGCACTGCAGCCGCTACCCCAGGGCTCCAGCAGCGGGGCTCTGGAGGCAATTTATAGGGCCTGGGGCTCCAGCCACTGCTGGGAGCCCCAGGCCCTTTAAATTGCCCCCTGGGGAAGCCAGGCTGCCCCAGTACGGTGCACCAGCTCTTGCCGGTACGCCGTACCGGGGCATACCGGCTTCCTTTCACCTCTGCATCTAGTCCAACCCCCTCCTCAAAGCAGGACCAATCCCCAACTAAATCATCCCAGCCAGGGCTTTGTCAAGCCGGGCCTTAAAAACCTCTAAGGAAGGAGATTCCACCACCTCCCTAGGTAATGCATTCCAGTGCTTCACCACCCTCCTAGTGAAAAAAGTTTTTCCTAATATCCAACCTAAACCGCCCCCACTGCAACCTGAGACCATTACTCCTTGTTTTGTCATCTGGTAACACTGAGAACAGTCTAGATCCATCCTCTTTGGAACCCCCTTTCAGGTAGTTGAAAGCAGCTATCAAATCCCCCCTCATTCTTCTCTTCCGCAGACTAAACAATCCCAGTTCCCTCAGCCTCTCCTCATAAGTCATGTGTTCCAGACCCCTAATCATTTTTGTTGCCCTTCTTGTAGTGTGGGGCCAAAAACTGGACACAGGACTCCAGATGAGGCCTCACCAATGTCGAATAGAGGGGAACGATCACGTCCCTTGATCTGCTGGCAATGCCCCTATATATACATCCCAAAATGCCATTGGCCTTCTTGGCAACAAAGGCACACTGTTGACTCATATCCAGCTTCTCATCCACTGTAACCCCTAGGTCCTTTTCTGCAGAACTGCTGCCTAGCCACTTGGTCCCTAGTCTGCAGCAGTGCATGGGATTCTTCCATCCTATGTGCAGGACTCTGCACTTGTCCTTGTTGAACCTCATCAGATTTCTTTTGGCCCAATCTTCTAATTTGTCTAGGTCCCTCTGTATCCTATCCCTACCCTCCAGCATATCTACCTCTCCTCCCAGTTTAGTGTCATCTGCAAACTTGCTGAGGGTGCAATCCACGCCATCCTCCAGATCATTAATGAAGATATTGAACAAAACCAGCCTCAGGACCGATCCTTGGGGCACTCCGCTTGATACCGGCTGCCAACTAGACATGGAGCCATTGATCACTACCCAGCTTTCTATGCACCTTATAGTTCATTCATCCAGTCCATACTTCTTTAACTTGCTGGTAAGAATACTGTGGGAGACTGTATCAAAAGCTTTGCTAAAGTCAAGGAATAACACGTCCACTGCTTTCCCCTTAGCCACAGAGCCAGTTTTCTCATCATAGAAGGCAATTAGGTTAGTCAGGCATGACTTGCCCTTGGTGAATCCATGCTGACTGTTCCTGATCACTTTCCTCTCCTCGAAATGCTTCAAAATTGACTCCTTGAGGACCTGCTCCATGATTTTTCCAGGGGCTGAGGTGAGGCTGACTGGCCTGTAGTTCCCCGGATTCTCCTTCTTCCCTTTTTTAAAGATGGGCACTACATTAGCCTTTTTCCAGTCATCCGGGACCTCGCCTGATCGCCATGAGTTTTCAAAGATAATGGCCAATGGCTCTGCAATCTGAAGACTGGGTTTGATTAAGGAAGGCAAAGCCATACTGGGTACGTGCAGAGCATGGTGGGCTGCGGCACTGCAATAGTCACACCTTTCCCAAGAGCTGAAGGGGGACCAGGCAAGATCCTAGCTCGCTGTGTTGTTCTTATGATGCATGGCCATTGGATCCCAGATTCCATGCAAATCCCTGGGTGCACCTACTTTCATGCCCCATAATGCACTGAGGCCTTCACAGCCTGGGGAGATGGAAATGTAACCAGGGAGCTGCTCTTTGATTTCTTTGACACCATCAGGGGCCTGTAGTAGGTTCAGGTCTGAGGGGGCAGGTTAGGGTTTGGGGCACTGTCCCTAGGGGCAGGTTAAGGAGTGTGTTGGGCATAGTCACTAGGGGCAAAATAGGGCGGTTGGGTTACAGTCCCTAGGGGCAGGATGGGGGGTTGGGGTACTGTCCCTGTTGGCAGGATAGGGTGGGTTTGTGCCACCATCCTTAGGGGGCAGGTTAGGGGGGGATTGGGTCACAGTCCCCAGGGGCAGGCTAGGAGTGCTTCGGGACTAGGGTGACCACCTAGCAACTATGAAAATAGGTGGGGGGTTAATGGAGGGGAAATAGGTGCCTGTATCAGACAAAGCTCACCAGGAACACAGGACTGGAGGGGACTGGAGGAGAGGGGTCATGGAGTGCAGCCCCCACCCCCCATGTAGGGCCCTTCATAACTCTGACTGTGGGTCCTGCTCTGCTGTGCCAGCTCACCAACAGGCGACAGGGGGCGCTGCAGGGAGGGGGCGGGGCTACACCCTAAGGGGGTGGAACGCTCCAGATAGTGGGCGGGGCGTGCCAGGGGCGGGGCGGGGCTACGCACTAAAGAGGCGGGGCACTCCAGGGAGGGGTGGGGGCAGAGCTCCCTCTATTTAAACCGGCTCAGGCCGGCGCGCGGCAGTCTCCCCCATCATGGCGAGCGGTGTCCGGCTTCTGGTGGTCCGCGCCGCCTACGGCCTGCACTCTCCCCGCTGCCTCCGCTCCACCGCCGCCGCCCGCCAAGAGCAGCCGGGGGAAACGCCGCCGCCGCCTCCTCCTCCTCCTCCGCCCGAGCGGGGCTCGGCGCGCAGCGAGACCGGCCCGCGGGGGACGCCCCGAGTGCAGCCGCTGCCGCCCGCCGTGCACTTCGGGGACGCGCGGGAGGCGTTTCGCAGCAAGCGCAGCGCGGAGCTGGTGCGGGCTCTGGTGGTGCTGGGGCTGTGCACGGTGGAGCCGTTGGTGGCGCGGAGTCGGCAGGTGAGCGGAACCCCGGGGCCCCGTGCGCGGGGCGGGGGGTTCGGAGCAGGCTCGCCAGGGCTCGGCTGCTGTCCCGCGGGGCTGAGCTGGGGCCGTCTTGGGAGCGGTCTGGGCCCCTCAGGGCTGCTCCTGTGGCCGCACATCTCCCGGCGCTCTGCAAAGCAAGGTGTGGGCGTCCGGGCAAGGCACAAAGCCTCAATGACACCCCCCGCGAGTCAGCTAGGGGATCCCTCGAGCCTGCCTGTGACTGATGCCTTCTGGCCTCCTTCCTCCCTTAGACGCGGGCACTGGGGTGTCTCTGGACGGGTGCTGGGAGAGGGGGTCTGGGGTCAGGTGCTGCTAGGATCTCATCTTTGGTACGATTGTCACGGTCTCACTGTCGTAGTCGTACCCCCCCCCCCCCCCGGCAGCGTGTGGTCCAGTGCCTGGAGCGTGGACCGAGACCTGGGCTCCATCCTGGTGCTGGTACGGAATGGTTCTGGGACCTCGGGAAAGATCATGTGCCCTCCCTCCTTTCCCTCCTCTGTATAAATGGGGATCGTGATTTGGACCCTCTTAGTGGCTCTGAAGTGCTGTGGAGTGGCAGAGCTCTGGTGTGACCAGCACTGGCTGGAGCCTGAGGTCAGACTAATCCAGGGCCCTGCAGCTACTGGTGCATCTGGGTCTTGGCATTCCCAGAGCACTGTTTCTGAGAGTTAATGCAGAGTTGTTACCCCAGGTATGGCGGGGCAAGAAGGTGCCTGTGCTGGGGAAAGCTGTCTTACACGGGCTTTGTGTCTTGCAGCTGATGAACCTCAGCCGGAAGCTGCTGGGGCAGCAGCTGTTTGAGAAGCTGATGAAGATGACCTTCTATGGGCAGTTTGTGGCTGGCGAGGACCAAGCGGCCATCAAACCCCTGATCCAACGAAATCGTGCATTTGGGGTGGGCTCGGTGCTGGACTATAGTGTGGAGGAGGATCTGACGCCAGAGGAGGCGGAGCGTAAGGAAATGGAGTAAGCATCTGAGTGCTTCTCACTACTCGTTTGCAGATTGCAGGCAATTAAAAGCAAAGCTTTAGGCAACCTGTGCTGAGGGATGTGAATAGAATCAGAGAATATCAAGGTTGGAAGGGACCTCAGGAGGTCATCTAGTCCAACCCCCTGCTCAAAGCAGGACCAATCTGCAATTTTTGCCCCAGATCCCTAAATGCGCCCCTCAAGGATTGAACTCACAATCCTGGGTTTAACAGGCCAATGCTCAAACCACTGAGCTATCCCTCCCTGCCCTATACAACACGGCTAGTACTGCTAGACCTCCCAAAGCTTGAGATCAGAACTGGGACCACCTTTGGGGAGCTTTTGTGGTTCATGAGGGGAGCAAGAAAATAGAGCTTGGCTCTTCAAACCTCCTGATGTACAAAGGTATCCCAGGGAGTGCTGAGAGGGGGACAGAGCTAGTGTGTGGGGTGAGATGAACTAGGCAGCAGATTGTGCCCCAGTTGTGGATGCAACCTAAGGGGGAACCATCCGGTGAGGATTTTCCCTTTTTTATCTGCCTCTGTTATTCCAGGGCTGCTGCTGGCACAGGAGAAGGAATGATCTGATAGTGTGAGTTAAGCTCCTTTTTTCAGGCCTTGTTGCTCAAGCAGCCTAGTTATAAAAGGGAATGGCTGGAGCTTGTTGTGTCCATGATGAGCTTTCCTAGGGAATTGCACCCCATAATATGTGACGTCCAGGATTTGGCTGCTTCTGTTCTGTCTTCTGGTCCCTTTGCTTTCCTTTCCTGGCCTTGCTTCAGGCCCATGACAGCTTCATCATATCTGTTCTCCCTCAAACTTACCTTAAGGTTAAGATTTGAGCTGGTGACTTGGGAGACAGTTTCACGCTGTTACATGTTCACCATGGCCATTTCAAATCATTCGCTCATTCACACTGTAGTTTGTGCTGCATGGACGTGCTGACCTTGCCTTGCTGTTCTGGTCATGTTCTCCTCAGACTAGCCCATGTGTGAAAAGAGAACGTACAGTTCAGATTTCTAGCTTCCCAGGTGCTGACACTGCTCTGCTTTGGCACCAAAAAGCCACCCATCCACCCCTGCCTCCAAAGGATAGTGTAGTTGGAAAATGCTCAGTGGCACCCCTTCTGGGACATCATCCCTTCTGCTTGCCCTTTCTCAGAGACCGAAAGGTGGGGCGAAGCATTTATATGTTCCTTTTCCTGTGTGGAGAAAGGGCCTCTTTTCTGGGGTCCCAATTTGAGATGTCTTCAAAGGGTCTGATTTTTAAGAAGTGCTGAACACCCACCGTCTGTAAATTTGGTCCCTAAGCTGTCTTAGGTTGGATTTCCAAAATCACTGGTCACTTGGAAATTCAGGGCCAGTGCATGTTATGCTCAGTCAGGACCTGTGTGACCTGACATCTGATCTGTACATCCTTTTCAAACCCGGAGCCGTCTCTGCTGTGGGATCAGAGCTGCGTTTGGCAAAGCCGGGTTGTCTCTGGCCTGTGGTGCTGAATGGAACCTACACCAGTACAGCATGTGCTTTGAACCCATGTGCACGTGGTCTATGTCCTTCCCTCAGGGAGGTGGGCTCAGTGCTGCTGAATCCTCAAGCCTGGCCTGGGGCAGTTTGCTGTGACCTTGGTAGTGGGCAAGGACTAGATTACTGTGGAGCACCTGCTGCAGTTGAAGGGAAATTGTCTTCTCTGCCTGCAAGTACCTGGGACAGAATGTGCCCTTTCAAACTTGCCAACGACTTGAGCTTCTTCCTGGTAATGCAATTGGTCAATAAGGCCCATCCCCTTCAATTTGATTGGCTGTCATAGAGGCAGAGCCTTTAGGTAAGCACTGGAGCTGCCAAGTTCTGTGCTGCTTCCCAGAAGGCTCAGATTGAGTACCCCCTTCAGGCAGATCTCCTAGCTTGCCTGCCTGCCTCCGCCTGGGAGCAGGTGCAGGGATCCCTCCCCATCCTCTCGGAGGTGTCCTTGAGTTCTGCCCCAAAAGGACAATTTCTTGCAAGACTTGTGTCCCTAGATTCCTCCCAAGGTTTGTCTACGCTACAGGTTACATCCGTATAACTTGTCCCCCCCTCGGTTATGAATAAGCCACCCCCCCAGCAACAAGTTACACCGACCTAAGTGCCAGTATGGACAGCAGTATGTTGTCAAGCAGAGCCTCGGAGATGTGGATTTATTATGCTGACTGTGTTACCTGCACGCTCTAGGGCACCCACCTTTACTTAGTTCCTAGGGATCAAGGCGTACTCTTCTGTGGGTTTGCAGGACCTTTTTACCAGTGAAAGAGCCTTACACAGAAATTCTTAACCTCCCTCTGTTAACAATCACAGAGCAGAATACACATGCTAAGAATACAATGCTGTGCTCACCAATCCTGGTCACGCAGGCAGACTTTACCTGTTGGCGAGGCAAGATCGGTCTCAGCTGAGTTCTTGTTGCTGCACGTCAGGGTCGTGCATAGGATTCTAGCAGCTCTGCTCTTGGGCTGTGTCTTGGAGGTGAGTTCTTCTTCCAGGTCTTTTTTTTCTTTTCTTTTTTTGCCCAGCCAGTCTCCTTCTTGGAACCCAGTTTATATAGTGAAACTGGAGTCCTGCTTAGCTATACCTTAACCCAGGGGTGGCCAACCTGAGCCTGAGAAGGAGCCAGAATTTACTAGTGTACATGGCCAAAGAGCCACAGTAATACATCAGCAGCCCCTGCATCAGCTCCCCCACCCTGCTCACAGCGCCTCCTGCCCACCGGCAGCCCCACCAATCAGCGCCTCCCCCACCCTCCCTGCACCTCCCAATCAGCTGTTTTGTGGCATGCAGGAGGCTCTTGGGGGAGGGGGAAGGAGTGAGGGCATGGCAGGCTCAGGGGAGGGGGTGGAGTGGGAGTAGGGTCTGTGGCAGAGCCAGGGGTTGAGCAGTGAACACCCCCTGGCACGTTGGAAAGTTGGCACCTGTGACTCCAGCCCCAGAGTCGGTGCCTATACAAAGAGCTGCATGTGGCTCCGGAGCCCCAGATCGGCCTCCCCTGCCTTAACCAATCATTTTACTAAAATGTTATGCAGTTCCTTGTCCAATCCTAACATATTGCAAAACAATTCTTTGTCTAATCATGCCCCACCACCTTAGTTGATTTAAATCTTGCAAAATTAGTTATGCAACAGACAAAGAACCAGACAGATAAACAGGGAAGCAGGGACCATAGACAAGATAAAATAATGAAGTAGAGACTTCACAACCACAACTGTTGAAGTGATTCCTTGCCAGACAGAAGACGATCAAACAAGTTTTCTTTAGGCATCTGAAGATCTGTTTCTGTATCCGGTGGTGGTGGGTACTATTAGTGCAGGAGCCTTTTGAACAGCCTGATATTACATTGTTTTAAAGTAATTTAGAGGGAACTTGAGGATGTGACCTTTCGCTTCTTGGCTCATGGCTGCTGCTCCCCTAATATGGCTGCAGACCTCACAACGGGAGAGCTCTCTCCCATTGGCATGGGGCATCTTCACCAGACAGATTGCAGCATCTATGTAGCTGCACCAGTGTAGGGCTTCTAGTGTAGACTAGAGGGTGCTTGTGTAAATCACTGAGTTGAAGTTGCCCTTATTTCCACTCTAAGCCCCTGTTTTCAGGCATTCAGAACTTTCTGAAACTTCATTTTTGGGTAAAAAGTGTCCCACCTTGACCATTATAAGAATTCCTTTTTTGTAAGCTGGAGGGAAAAAATTCAGCTGCTTGAGAACAAGGATCAGCGGGTGAGGGAAGGGGAGTGCCTTGCCAGTCATTGAGACTATGCCTGCCCAGCACACGGCAGAGCTGGCTGGGGCAGAAAGCTGAACATCAGATGGTTCTCACTGCCAAGGACATCTCCAGTGTTCTGGTGAAATTTAGTTTTGATTTGGTAAAGCCGTGACTTTTGACCACCAATAAGCTGGACGTACACAGTGCACTTGGCGCAGGGGTTTATGCTAAGCTGGTAATGGTTGTGCTCTCTCTGTACGTGTGGCTAAGTGGAGTGTGCAGTGAAGAGTGTGATGGCAGAGGGAGTCCTGCTCTGCCCTGGAGCCCCACAGCTAAGGAAATTGATCTGTGTTTAGCAGTTATCAGCTGGCAATCTCTGTGCTCTTGCTGCTGTGGTGCTCAGGGCTAGACCAAGGCAAATGTTGTGGAGATATTTTTCATAAAATTCCATGCTAAATTTTTATCAGTTCACTGTGCCCATTTTTGCATCCTCTGTTTTGGAAAATGGGGAAATTGAGGCCCCAGCCATTCCCATAGAAACACTATGGCATAGTCGTCTGTGTTGGAGCAACAATGAAATGCTTTCTCCCCAGAAGAGCAGCTTCAGCTTCTGCCTCACCATGAGGCTTTCACCAAAGCAGGGTGGTCAGAATTAACCCTCCAGCCAAATCAGACTGCGTGTGGACAGTGTTTTGTAAACTGGGCTGTTTCTCTAGAGCCTGGAGCCTGGGTTAGCTTTGTGAGTTCTGGCAGAGTTCTTGATGCCGTGTAAGAAACGACCCTGATTCACCATTCCCTTGTGCACTTAGTGCATTGGGGCTGGTTGGTAGCATATCACACCCACTGCACAAGGTGCAGGGCAATGGTTGGCTGAGCCCAGAGACAGCAGAAATAGTGTCCAGCGGGTCTGGGGAACCAGTGACATCTGGAGTGTCCGTTAGACACGAGGTGGGCCTCACACAGGCGCAGCCACAGCATACTAATACTCATCATCCCCCCCACACCCCCCCCCTTGAGAACCACACAGCAATACCAATGACTGCCCATCATCCAGCTAGCTAGGAAGTTGCAGCTGTTCCTCTTGGTGGGAACCTAGTAACCCTGATTGTCACTCAGAAACTGGATGACTGTAACTAGGAACATCAGTCTAGGCCACTTTAACTGTAGCCCATGTGTTTCATGGCAGCACCAAGGCACGTGGCACCAGAATGCCACTCCAGGTTCAAGTCACTGGCTTGGTCCTAATCTCTAAAGCCCCTGCTGGGCTGTGACCAGGCCTACAGAACACCTGGTTCTTGCTGTAACTCCAGAGACCACCGCCCTCATCATGGCCCAAACTCCAAAGCCAGCATGATGCTCTTGGCCCTGAATCGGAGGCTCTTCCAGGGTGGTCCCAGGCTGTGGGGCACTGTGCCAAGTAGATCAAAATACACTTTAGCTCTGCCTCCTTCAGAGCTGGGCTGCCCATAGGAGTTCACAAATGGGGAAGGAATTGAACCACCGTCAGCTGAGCCCTGGGAGATGAGAGGTGCTACTATCAGGTGTGTAATTCCTCCAAACCCTGCCAGACCTCCGGGCTCTGGGCTAGTCTCATCTTGTGTGCGCACGGAGCTGGCTGTTTTGGCGCAGGGTATGTTGGTGTCCCAGCAGGCTGCTTTGCACTCTGTTAAAGGGGATGTCTTTTCTCTCCTGACAAGGTTTATTCCCGTGTTGCTCCATCCCGTAAATTGTTGTAGGCAAATATTTACACAAGTCTGGGTTTGCTGCTGTGAGTTTGCTGGCTGGGACTAACTTTCCAAAAAGGACATGGGAGCTCGTCTGTTTGTTCAGTTGGGAAAAGGCTTTTCTTCTTTTTGGCTTTATTAAAATGCAAAATCCCTTCTATGAATGCACAATTCTGACCAATACTTTAAAAGCCCAGGCCAGGAACCAGAAAGCTGCACTGTATTCTAATGCGAAAGGAATGCTGAGCAGGTGGGCATGTTGACACATGAGTGCGCTCTCCCATATTAACAAATCAACAGGGAACTTCTTGCTGCTGTTCCAGTTTGTGTTTTACTCGGCCTGGCGCAGGGACACCGGGTGGGCCCGTTTCACTTCCTGCTACTTAGCCTCTAGCTGCACAGTTGCTCTTGAAAACCCCAAGGGCTGGGCTACACAGTGTACAGATGTGAAAGCACATACAGTTAAGCCAGTGCAACCCCTTAGTGTGGGCACAGGGACGCCTGCGTAAAAGGTGCTTATTCTGCTAAATGTACAGCACTGAGTGCCTTGTATGGGGATCACTGCACCTGCACTACGGAGTTGCATGGCTTGAAATGTGTCAGTCTCCAAATTGGTACACAACCGGGGTAGGCTGGCCCTAGCAAAGCCTAGTGTCTGCACGTTGAAAATTCCTTGTTTCTAGTGAAATTAAGAAATCCTCTTCACGGATGGAATCTGGGGCCTGCCACCACTAGCATGTCCCTTGCCCAGCAGTACTCGTAGGAGGACTGTGCCTTGCTGTATTACATGTCCCTTGCTCTGAGCTCTGTGGCTGCTCTCTCTCTAGGCAATACCTCTGTCTGTTAAATGCTGTCTCCTGACTTTTCTCTTTCAGCTTTCCCTTGGGGGGGGGGGGGGGTTCGGAGGGGCTGGTATTTGCAGCTCTCTGGGCTTGTTTGAATTTCTGGTGTTTCCTCCGCTCACTGCCATGATCACATTAATGCACACCTGCAGCGGCAGGTGGGTTATTGCCTATACTGCTCTTGGTCTTAGTAGTGCCATTGGCCATAGCAGAGAGAATGCAGAACGCTGAGTTCAGCAAGGGGGCCCCATGCTGCTGTGCTCTCTGCAATTGGACGTCTTTGTAGCTTGTTCATATGGAATTTCATTCTTCTTCTAAACCAACCAGGACCCATTGCTGACCCCAGGGCGCCACCAGTCCTTCCCCCAGCTTCATGCTAGACCTAGCCACTTGTTTATATGCTAATCTACGTTGCCTCTGGTTTAGAGGAGAGACTCAAATTAGCAGGAGGTAGTTTTGCATGAGGGTGGTCCCTCTCGCTGTCCCTATCAAAATCCAGCCAAATGGTGCCTTGCTGACTGCTTGTGAAAGATCGTTTGCTGCATATGAGGGGACTTGCACTTTTTTAGAAAAACCTAGTAAACTAAATACAAAAAATATTAAAATTAGGGCTGTCAAGCGATTAAAAAAATTAATTGCGATAAGTCACACTGTTAAGCAATAATAGAATACCATTTATTTAAATATTTTTGGATGTTTTCTACATTTTCAAATATATTGATTTCAATTATAACATCGAATACAAAGTGTACAGTGCTCGCTTTATATTTTTTTATTACAAATATTTGCACTGTAAAAAACAAAAGAAATAGTATATTTCAAGTCACCTAATACAAATTCTGTAGTGCAACCATTTTCTAATGAAAATTTAACTTACAAATGTAGAATTATGTACAAAACATAACTTCATTCAAAAATAAAACAATGTAAAACTTTAGAATCTACAAGTCCACTTAGTATTACTTCTTGTTCAGTCAATTGCTCAGACAAACAAGTTTGGTTACATTTACGGGAGATAATGCTGCCTGCTTCTTGTTTACAGTGTCACCTGAAAGTGAGAACAGGCGTTCACATGGCATTTTTGTAGCTCGTGTCACAAGATATTTACATGGCAGATGCACTAAAGATTCATGTCCTTTCATGCTTCCACCATCATTCTAGAGGGCATGGACACTGGGGCAACTTCGCTCTCCTCACCTATGGCAGTGTCTCCACCCCAGAGCTGGCTGCCCCGTGGGGTGGGGTAGGAATCTCCACTAACATTTTCCAAGGCACTGAAGGTCCCACTGATTTTCATGTGGCCCGGAGTGTGGGGGGTTTGCACATGACTGACTCCGATGGGCTTAGGCCCGAAGGAGGCTTTGGAAAATATCGCCTTCCCCACCAGCAAAGTGCTCTGGCCCCGGAGGCGCGTGAGAGAAGCGCTTCTATGAATGGCCATTGTCGGAGTGAAGAACAGGGAGGATGAGGGGCTTGTGGGGATCTGGCCAAACCCCAGTGGCCTTTTGGGTACAGGGAGCTGACCCATGTGAAGCCAAGAGAGCTGGTTGTGAGGGGGTTGGACTGTAGTCTCACCATCTGCTTCCTTCCTCTAGGTCCTGTACCTCTGTATCTGAGAAGGAGATGGGGGGTGAGTGATGCAACCGCTCCTCACACAGCCTAGTTGGATGCTAATCTATTGAGACTCTGGCCCAGACCATCCTCCCCAACATGCTCCAGGGCTCTGGCCCTCACCCTTGCCTGGGGCATGATGGCCAATTGTACCTTGATATGTTCGTAAACTGTGAAAACCCAGGCATAGACTGTGTTTAAAGTGCTCCGGGGGAGCCTCGGCTCGTGGGGGTCTCAGATTGCTACGGTCCGTCAGCTGCTCAGTTCTCACATAGGTATTAAGACTGGAACATCTAATCTGTGTTTGTGCATAGCACAGGCCAGGGAATCCCACCCCATGAGTCCTGCCTCCAGCCCATTGGCTTGTGGCTGAGCTAGAGCAGATCTTCTAGAAGGACCTCGATCCAATGAAAATCTAGCCTTGGGACTTTCTCCTAGGGCCTGAGAGATCCCCAGAGGCTTGGGCTGATGGGAATGGTAAGAGTAAGGGGGTTTGTTCCAGGGACATGTGGCTGTTTGCGATCTCCCCCGCTCTGCCGTGTCTGCAGCACGCTCCCCCTACCTGTCCCCAGGTGCCGCCCAGAGAGAGAAGCAGTACCGTGCGCATCGGGAGTTTGGGGATCGCCGGGACAAGGTCATCAGTGCCCGCACCTACTTCTATGCAGACGAAACAAAGTGTGACCAGCACATGGACATGTTCCTGCGCTGTATCGAGGCCTCAGGTAGGTGCCCTGCATGTGCCACCCCCAGAGTGCCCCTGTGTCTGCTGTTCCTGACTGTCCCTCTGGGAGCACCTGGCAGTGTGCCCCTCCCCCAACAGGCTGCATAGTCACCCCCGGGCCATGGCTCTCCAGGTGCCCTCCTGCTGCAACTGTCAGCGCTGTGTGGCTTGCTGCAGAGGCCAGGGGCTGCTGCAGTCTCTGGAGGGTATCCAGCAGGGGCGAAGGACAGATCTGCCAGCTCAGATTGGCTTTCTCAATTCCTCCCCCTCTCCAGATTCCCCTGAACTGCTTTCCTTTACTTGCCCTGGAGTTATGGATGCTGCAGTCACCTCAGCTCTCTCCTGCTTTGTTTAGGTAGCAGCTCCGAGGACAGCTTTTCGGCCATTAAGCTGACGGCTTTAGGAAGGCCTCAGTTCCTGGTGAGTGACTTTTGGTGCCAGGGCTCACACGATGGCAGAGGGAGAGGCAGGGAGGAGGGGTGCTCAGGCTGAGACAGGCTCTGGGAGTTACTTGGAGACTGTTCCAGGTGGCAGGAGCTGCAGAGGAGGTGGCTCTGGCGTGTGAAAGGACGGCAGCCCCTAATGCTGGATGAGGGCTTTGGGACCAAATCTGCCTCACTACTCTCCTCGCAGGCAGCACCCCGCCACTTGGGCTCAGTGCAGCGAGCTGGGTGCCAAGCAGGATGGTCCCTCCTGTCGGGTCCATGCCAGGCACATGCTTATGGATTGTGTCTGTCAGTGATGCTCAGTAGACTCCCTGGGGAGACCAGTGCCCTGATCAGGGCAGCAGCTTGGGCCGTAGTCCATTCCTAGAGAGTCAGAGCTCCTATCTGATGTAGAAGGGCCTGAGTTTGCCTCTTGCTTTGAGGATGGAGATCTGGCTAAATGCTGGGCTATCTCACTGGGACCCCTGCCTAGTGTCAGCGTTAGGGGCCTTGATCTTTACTAGGAGGGGCCTGGGGTAGTGGGAGGTGCCAGCACTGTCCTGTTTGGGGCCCAGCAGGGCCAGTCCTGCTTACTTGGCGTGGCAGAGTGCCCAGCTGGGTGGATAGTGTCCCTAGGGTACAATCACGGCGGTGGGTCTGAGCCATCCCCACTGGGGAGAGGAGGGGGAGCTCACCCTGCAGTTTGCTCCCCCAGCTGCAGTTCTCGGAGGTGCTGATGAAGTGGAGGAGGTTCTTTCACCAGATGGCAGCAGAGCAGGGCAAGGCCGGGCTGGCTGTGGTGGAGACTAAGCTGGAGGTGAAGAAGTTGCAGGTGAGCTGGGCACAGCGCTCCCAAAGGAGCTGTCTTCCCCACTCTGCCCCATGGGCATCTGTGCTGCTCATGCCCTGGCTGCATCACCCTCCTGGGGGACTGCACCCCCACATTTCTCTGGGGGTTGTGAAATGCTTTGGGGCCTTGGGTCAAAGCACTGGGGAGGGCTGAGTTGCTAGAGAGAGTTCTTTCCCAGGTGTCTGGCTGGTGGGTCTTGCCCATGTGCTCAGGGTCTAACTGATCACCATATTTGGGGATCGAAGGAATTTTCCCTGAGATCAGATTGGCAGAGACCCTGCGGTTTTTTGCCTTCCCCTGCAGCATGGGCATGGGTCATCAGTTGGCTTGAACTTGTGCAAATGCTGGATTGTTTGTAACTTGAAGTCTTTAGACCCTGATTTGCGGACTTCAGTCACTCAGCCAGCAGTGCGGGGTCTATTACAGGAGTGGGTGGGGGAGGTTCTTTGCCCTGCAACGTGCAGGACCTCAGACTCTATGTTCAGGATGGTCCCTTCTGGCCTTAAAGTCAGAGTCTGGGAGGAGCATTGTTCTGGTTCCATGCTCAGTGAGCGGAAGAGCATGATGCAGCAGTCAGTATAATCTGCGCCCTATTGCTCCCTATCCAAGCAGGCTCATTTCTGTGCATTTCCCCCAGTCCTTCCCCTGGGCTGCGGTTGCACTGTAATCCCCATTCCCCTTCATCGGTCCCAGTGCACTGTAAATCTTTTGAGATTTATTGTTGCCCCTTCGAGGCAGAGCAATGCGGGGAGCCCCTCTTGGCCGGTACCTGTGAGGTCTGTCCCAGGTGCTGGTGCATGTACCTGCATAGCTCCTGCAGTAGCCCTCTTGCAGCCATGAGGCTAGTGCTCCCTTCTCTCCCAGGAACTTCTCAGCAGCAAGGGAGAACCCCTGGGAAGCTCCAAGTGGCTGTTTGGTACCACTGAGCCCACGGGGGCTGTCTGCATCTCAGCCACCTGGCGTTGTGGTGGGCAGGGACTGGCAGTCCAACCCCAGCCATCGTCTCGAAGCAGGGTCATGGCTCAGGGCAGAGTCCAGGCCTGCAGTGCGAAGGCAGCAGGGCTGCTGCTCACTGCAGTGTTTGGGGACAGCAGGTGGCAGCAGGGACTCTGACTTGCTCCTTTCTCATTGCAGGAGACCCTGGCAAACCTTGGGATTGTGACCAAGGCAGAGAGCCAGCACTGGTTCACGGGCGAGGACCTGGGCATGTCTGGGTGAGCTCCCTGCTGGGCCACAGCCAGCCTGACCCTCTGGCCTTCCTGGAACATGCTGCAGAGTGGGGGGGGGGGGGGGGTGCTACGGAAAGGAGCATGGGGAGGGGTCCCAAAGGCTTCCATTTCAGCCAGTGTGTGTACTGTCAGAGGGACTGGGGTAGGAGGTGGAGAGGGCAGCTTCCCAATTCTAGAGCAATGGCTCAGGGCAGGGGTCCTGGGAGAGGCTGCCTTTCTCAGAGGCCAGGGAGCTGCACTGGGAAGGGGTAAAAAGTGGTGGTGGCCATGTTTGTTGTGGGCATTTTGAGGGGCGTGTTAGTTCTCGGAGCCATAGCTGGCTCGGGTGGAAGAGTTTGACTGGGTAAGTACCCAGAGTTGCCATGCTGATCCTGCTGCTCTGCCAGGCCCCTGGTGACCAAGGAAAATCCCAGTGCTGGGATCTACACCCAGGGAGCTCTGCTGAAATCCTCCCCAGTTGGGTCAGGACAGGCAGCAGTGGGCTCTGGGTCACTGATCCATCCCAACTAGTGAGGAAGTTGCCAGTGCACCCCTTGGGGAGTTTGCTTGGAGCTGGCGCTAACGAGAGTCTTTCTGGCTGCAGCACCGTGGACTTGCTGGACTGGAACAGCCTGATTGACAGCCGAACAAAACTCTCCAAGCTGCTGCTCATCCCAAACATGAAGGTGGGTGAGTGGCACTATTTTGGCCCAGGGAGAGGCCCCAAGGGAATCCTCCTGAGCAGTAGAGCTCACCCCAGGTAATGGCACGGAACACTGCAGCTGGAGAGTTTCCTTGGTACCATACCTTCCAATGTTTTAGAACTGACTGGCTAAAACTTCCAAGTAACCGGGATCAGCCAGTCACATGCGAGGTGCTTCCTGTCAGGTACTTCATCCTGATACTCGTCTGATCCCTTGATTGCATCCCATTGCTTCTACGTACACCATGCACCATAAAGAATTCTCTCCCCTTGGGGTCTGCACCCTTCAGCCCTGGGTTACCCTCTTTCTTGAACTGGATGGGGAGATGACTGGTCAGATGCACATGGTGGAGCTCCTTTAACACGAGTGTATGCAAGTGAACTCCCAGGCTAAGCAGAGCCCTGTGTGGGAGCAGGTCAGGGGGAGGGGTGGCTAGAATCCATCTGCCCTGGGTGGGGAAGACTCCAGGGTCCTGGCTGAGGCATTCCTGCCTCTTGGGGATCCAGCGCCAGCAGTTCAGAGCTGTAGCAGCGCTGCAGTACCCCCTCGTGGCTGGGCTGGGAGCTGGGCCCTGCGGGTGTCGGCAGCCGAGCTGTGCTCTAATCTGCTCTTTCCAGACAACAAGGTGGGGTGGGGTGGGGAGGGTAGACCAGCCTGGGCATCCGCCTCAACCCCACTTCTGCACAGCCCAGTGCTGCTGTGCTGGCCTGAGCAGAGAAATGGGTTGGACTCTCACCAGGCTGTCTCAGCCAGGCCTGTCAGTGGAGCCGTTCCCCTGGCATGGAACTAGGGCAAGTTCTGGGTTAGGGGTGCAAGCATTCTCCTCTCTCAAACAGCTTCTTCGGGGGGCTCCTCAGATAGAAGGGCTCCATCCTGCTTCCCAGGCCCTGCCGGGCCAGCAGCTGCCATTACCCCAGTCGCCTAACCCTCTACACCAGGGATTCACAAACTGGGTGTCACACTCAGAGGCTTGCTTTGTGAAAGCGGTCACCAATACAAAAGTTTGAGAGCCACTGCTCTACACCCCTTCTGTAACATCTGGGGAGCAGCAGCTCCGGCTCCCAGTCTAAGGTGGCTGGTGCACAGGGTTGGTGAATGGGGCTGGGGGGATGCCCCTTAGAGTCTGGAGCATGCTGGTACTCCTACTCCTTGGAACCTGATCCCAGCTTGGGCCCCCCCTGCACTTTGATGCAGAGAGTTCAGCACACAGTGCTTGTCCCACATGCCTGCGTCCCACGTGTGTAAATGGGGAGGGAGTGAATAGCTGCATGGGCTCTCAGGGTTAGCGCTTGTCCAGAGGCCTTGTGTCATGTCCTGCTCTGCACCTTGGGTGAGGGAGGGAAGGCTTATGGTCTGTAATGTCCAAGCTGTGGCCGCGGGGGCATAGCACTGAGGCTGTCTGGTGCTTCTCCTTTCAGACCGGCCAGTTGGAGCCCCTGCTCTCGCGCTTCACCGAAGAGGAAGACCTGCAGATGAAGCGAATGTTGCAGAGGATGGACATCCTGGCCACGGTTAGGAGCAGCCCTGCCTGGACTGTCATGGGGGTCTTTGTGGGAAGTTTCCAAGCCGGGGTGAGGTAGAGTGGGCCCTGACCTCAGGGTGAGGGAGATGGACCTGCTCACCCATGACCCAGCATGGCCTTGGTGCCAGAAGCGTTTTGGGTGAGCCCCAGATTGTAAGCCCTGCTCTCTGTGGCCTGTACGCTGCTGTGCTAGGGTCACAGGGCTCTTCCAGCAGGTGTTCCCTGGAGGCATTGGCGTGCAGGGGTGAGTGCTGCCATCTGCAGGACCCCTGCAGTACTACACAGCAGTGGGCTCAGCATTGGCCCTGCAGACTCCACCTGGACAGAACCTAGTCACTGCTTGTGGCCTGACCTGAGGAGTGTCCTTCCCCCTGCAGAGAGCCCTGGAGCTGGGAGTGAGGCTGATGGTGGACGCTGAGCAGACTTACTTCCAGCCAGCCATCAGCCGGCTCACCCTGGAGATGCAGCGCAAGTTCAACATGGAGAAGGCAGTCATATTTAACACCTTCCAGTGCTACCTGAAGGTGAGAGTCTGGCCAGTGCCACCTGCGGGCAGGGGATCTAGGGCCCAGCCATGTGCGGGGTGCAGCCTGCATGCCTGAAGGGCCCCGGATGCAGTGGTGACGGTAGTGCTCCAAGCAGTGGTGGCAGGCACTGGGATGGAGATAGGTCGTGCTGCAGGAGGGGATGCTTCAGTGCCAGTTTGTGCAAGCAGCCCTGTCTCAGGGCAGAGCTACTCCAGGAGCAGGCGTGGAGCCTTGCTCCCCAGACAGCATTTCAGTGGATGTCACCGCTCCGTCTTTCCACTGCAGGAGGCATACGACAACGTGACGATGGATATGGAGCTCTCTCACCGTGAGGGCTGGCACTTTGGGGCCAAGCTGGTCAGAGGCGCATACATGGAGCAAGAGCAGGCTCGAGCTGCCCAAGTCGGCTACGAGGATCTCCTCAACCCTACGTATGAAGAGACCAGCAAGATGTACAAGAGGTAGGAGGGCCCGAGCTGGGATGCCGGGGTGAGGAGGTGGTGCCCTGGGCACTTCCCTGGGCCCACGTGTGATCTGTCCTGCAGGTGCCTGGACTACGTTCTCAAGGAGATAAAGTACAGCCGGAAAGTCAGTATGATGGTGGCATCGCACAACGAGGACACAGTGAAGTTCGTCCTTCGCAGGTAGGGCACTGATGTGGCAGCGTGGCAAGAGCCGTGGGTGCCAGGCCTCAAATAGCAGTGGGAGCCTAGCGTGGGGCTAGCAGGGGCTGCTGCAAGAAGGGATTGAGAGGTGGCAGCAGAACTGTGTGGGTGACGTTTGCACAGCATCTGACTGCACTAGGAATGGTGGCTGGCCATAGCTGGGGAAAGAGGCTGGAAGGGAGGGGGCCTGTGCATGGTCTGGAATTGAATTAATGTACCTTCCTGTTTTGTTAGGAGAATAGCCCCAGGGCTGCAATTGAATTGGGGCCCTTGGGGGTCTGGCAAATAGGAGATCAGACACTGGCAGAAGCCACTTTCAGGAAGGGACTTGCTTGCTCTGTGGTGACCTTTCTGGCCTGCAGGTGTAAATGTGTTCGCTCACACCAGTGCTGAATACCAGACTCCTGGGTTTTTGTATCACTGGGCGTATGAAGGCTAGCGGCCAGACAAAGATATGCTGTAAACTGTTGGATACAGCACTGTGTGCTGGGCAAGGGCATGCAGTGATTCCAGGGAAGAGCTGTGCCCGGCACTTTGAGGGGATGGGCACTAGTTACCCAACTCTGCTGTGCTTCTCTTGCAGTCTACTTTTTTACTCTATGGGAAGTTAATTTAGGCCTGTGGGCAATAGATCTCTGAAAAAGGAGCAGGATTCTCATGGTCCCTCCAGCTCACTGTCAGTCCTTCTAGTGTAGTGTTTCCTGCTGGGCATCTCCTGGTGTGACTCTGGTGATTCCATTACAGAATGGCAGAGCTTGGCATTCATCCCTCTGAGAAAAAGGTGTACTTTGGGCAGCTGCTGGGCATGTGTGACCAGATCACCTTCCCTCTGGGTAAGTGTCTGGTGTATTCCTCTGGGCGCCCAAGATGGGGAAGGGGTTGCTGTGCTGCTTTCAGTCAGTGAGTAGAGATCCATCTGGCTGATCTTTTTTTTTAAAAAAAAAAAGGCCTTGAACAAGATCTTTCATGCATGATTACTAGAGACGAGTCATGAGGTAGGAGGCTAGGTGTTATCATGGATCAGAAACTGGCTGAGAGGAAAAACAGGAGGAATACATCGCTTTTGTCATGGCCAAAAGTTAAAGAGCAGGTGCCAGAAGGCTGTGTGTAAGGAGCAGGGTTTAGTGATCTGGGAAAGGGACGAGTAGTGAAGTGATGCAATTGGCAGAGGATGTAACTTAGGTTAGTCAGTCCAACATGGGCACGGCAGCACTTCTGAGGGGCCTAGCCAGGCAAGAGGGCAGCTCAATGCTGAGCAGTGCAGGAGAGGACACAATTAATAGCTTGTGCACAACCTTGCCACATTGTAACTGTGTGAACTCAGGACAGGGACCGGCACATGTGTCCAGCTTACTGAAGATCTGCTCACTGCATGGTTGTGGTCAAGTCAAACAAACAAGATGTTAAGCTACATAAGAAACAGGACTGACAATATAGTCATAATGCTATTCTACAAATCAGTGGTTGGTGCACATCTGGATCCTGTGTACTGTACCTTTCACCCTATCTCAAAGGATGTTGCACAATTAGAGGGGGCTCAGAGACAAGTGACAATGACCAGAGGCAGGAAAAGCTCTTGGATGAAGAGATGGAGAAGACCGGCACTGGTCTCCTTTGAAAGGAGATACATAAGCCATATGATAGAAGTATATAAAATGGCGGATCTGGAAGGGAGATCATGTGCTTGTCCTCTGTCTTAGCACAAGAGCAAGGAACATCCAATGACATTGGAAGGTGAAAAATTCAAAGAATAGAAAAATGTTTTCATTCTAGGTGTAACGAGACTGTGGAACTCACTGCCAGTGTATTATTAAGGCAGAGAACTAGCCACATTCAAAGGCTATTGGACACTTCTATGGGTAACAAATAGCTCGAGGAGTTAAATGCAATTTAAAAAGCTCAAGAAAAGACATCAATCCTCCTGCTTCTGGGTTGGAGCCCACTAACTACTGGAGGTCAGAAGGGGACTCCCCTGGGGCAGGTGACTATCCCATCACTACCTATTGTGAGATGTCTTGCACCTTGCCCTGAAGCAGGATACTGGCCTAGTGGGCCATAGTGCTGACCCAGTCTGGCAATACCTGTGTGCACACAGGCCTGGCTGCAGGAGCTCTGATGCACCTTCACGGTGGACCCGCTGGCTGCTCTTAGTCACTAAGGCTTGTGGGACAACTGGAAGAGCTGAGTCAAGTGGTTTCTTCTCCTTGGCCTGTGTAAGTAGCCATGGCATCAGATCCCATCCTGCACAGAAGTCTCCCCGCATATTCTGCTGACACATGCATGTTGGTACTTGCCAGCATTCCTCTGCTATGCCTAACAGGAAGGGGTAGAAACATGTGCATGATGCTGTGGCTACTGTGGAACTAAATTGACATGGGAATGTCTTGTGGGTGGAGTTGTGGTGTGGTCTGCCTATGGCACTGTGCAGAGCTGCCCAGCGCTGCCCCACCCTTGCTTTAGTGACTTGTAGGACATCGCTGTTCTAGCTGCCTGGGCTGGCGTGAATGAGGAGTGCTGAGGCACCCAGTAACTGTTCACATGCCTGTCACTAGCGCAGTGGTGGTGCTGGGCTGTTACTCCTCACCCCGCTGGAGTCACAGCAGTTTCCTTGGCAAGCTGAGGGTGGCTTGGCCTCTCCGGTCTCCTTCAGCCAAGTCACTGGCCCGCTGGCTGGAAAAAATCATGTTTGTCATAATTTGGGTATTCTTGGTTGAGTGCTTCTTGAATGGCCCAACCCTCCCTGCTTCTGGGGTTTCCCACCGTTTCCTCCTGTGACACCAGCCACTTCTCTCTCTCTCTCTTCCCCAAGCTCAGGGGAATTCCCAGTTCTCCCCCACCCCTACCTTTTTCAAGGGGATCCTTTTTTTAAGGGGATCTTATGTGCCTCATACTGCTGAATGTTTGACATGTTCTCTATGGCTCATCTTCCTCAGCTCTGCTTCATGGGAGAGTCACTTAGGTTCAGACTGGAGTCTGAACCTTTCTCTCTTGAGTCATAGAATCATAGAATAATAGAGTTGGAAGGGACCTCTGGAGGCCATCCAGTCCAACCCCCTGCCCAGAGCAGGACCAATCCCAACTAAATCATCCCAGCCAGGGCTTTGTCAAGCCTGACCTTAAAAACTTCTAAGGAAGGAGATTCCACCACCTCCCTAGGTAACGCATTCCAGTGTTTCACCACCCTTCTAGTGAAAAAGTTTTCCTAATATCCAACCTAAACCTCCCCCACTGCAACTTGAGACCATTAGTCCTTGTCCTGTCATCTGCTATCACTGAGAATAGTCTAGATCCATCCTCTTTGGAACCCCCTTTCAGGTAGTTGAAAGCAACTATCAAATCCCCCCTCATTCTTCTCTTCTGCAGACTAAACAATCCCAGTTCCCTCAACCTCTCCTCATAAGCCATGTGTTCCAGACCCCTAATCATTTTTGTTGCCCTTCGCTGGACTCTCTCCAATTTCTCCACATCCTTCTTGTAGTGTGGGGCCCAAAACTGGACACAGTACTCCAGATGAGGCCTCACCAATGTCGAATAGAGGGGAACGATCACGTCCCTCGATCTGCTGGCAATGCCCCTACATATACATCCCAAAATGCCATTGGCCTTCTTGGCAACAAGGGCACACTGTTGACTCATATCCAGCTTCTCGTCCACTGTAACCCCATGGTCCTTCTCTGCAGAACTGCTGCCTAGCCATTCGGTCCCTAGTCTGTAGCAGTGCATGGGATTCTTCCGTCCTAAGTGCAGGACTCTGCACTTGTCCTTGTTGAACCTCATCAGATTTCTTTTGGCCCAATCCTCCAATTTGTCTAGGTCCCTCTGTATCCTATCCCTACCCTCCAGCGTATCTACCACTCCTCCCAGTTTAGTGTCATCCGCAAACTTGCTGAGGGTGCAATCCACACCATCCTCCAGATCATTAATGAAAATATTGAACAAAACTGGCCCCAGGACCGACCCTTGGGGCACTCCGCTAGATACCGGCTGCCAACTAGACATGGAGCCATTGATCACTGCCCGTTGAGTCCCTTTGTTGGTACCTTCTAAGCATTTCCAGAATTGTTCTTCCGCCCCTGTGGCACCTTGGGGCTGCTCTTGCTCCTCACTACACCCCGTCTTGAGGTCTCTGCAAATCTCTACTTGAAGCATGAAAGGGTTCAATGTGCCACTGTCACCACTGTAGTAAACGTGGTGGGGTGTAACAAAGAAATGAGAAGAAATGGTGTTAGCAGATTATGTAGGGTGACTTTTTTTCTGTTGGGCTGGGAAAGTGCTGCCTTGAGGCCAGGGTGCAAATTCCTTTGCTTGAGAGGTTAAAATGAGTGCTCTCTGCACTGAGTAACTTTCCAGAGGCCACAGAGGTGGTCTGGAATTGCACCTGGAAAATGCTTCTAAAGTCTTGCTCTGGGAGGCCAGATCCTGAGCTGGTGTGAACTGGTATCTCAGCAGTCGATGGAGTGGGATTGATTTGCACTAGCAGAGATTCCTGCCCACTGTATCCTGTAAGTTACCTTGATTTCTCTCCTCAGGGCAAGCAGGTTATCCAGTCTACAAATACGTTCCCTACGGCCCTGTGAACGAAGTGTTGCCGTACCTGTCCAGAAGGGCTCTGGAAAACAGGGGCTTCATGAAGAGAGCCAAACGCGAGAGGGAGCTCCTCTGGAGTGAGTTGAAGAGAAGACTGATCACTGGCAGCCTTTTCTGTAATCCAAGCCACTAACCTGTCCTGCCTTGGGCTGGGATATAGAAGTAGAACTGCTGTCATGCGGCGGCAAATATCCCAGACTGGCAGACCTAGTGGCTTTTTAATAGAACTGCTGCTGTTTTTCTCCAAGTACCCTTCTCCACCAATCTCAGTCCTCTGCAAAGACACTCTCTAGTGCATTAATATCTGACCTGCACCAGTGACCCTCCAATAAACATCTCTGCTGCAGGCCCATGTCACTGCCCCTGCTGTGGGATGGTTCAGCAGCAGCTGTTTCCTTAAGTTAGATGCAGTTAAATGTTGTCCTAGGACATCATTGCCTTTCTGGGATTTAATACAACTGCAGATGGGCCCCTAGTTAAAGGCAGGGCTCTGGGAGAGAGCAGCCATAGGTGTAAAACAGTGGGAGACTCAATCATGTCCCTGCAAGTCATAGCCACCTGCTTGTGACTCCATCCAACTTCCTGGTGCTGGCATGATCACATTCCTGGCTCCTAGGAGGATGGATGGCATGCCCCAGGGCTCAAAGGTTAAGTCATCGGAAAGCAGTTATAGCTTGGCACCCCCACTAGCTCTCCAGGGTGGGGTGAAGATGGTGAGAACTGGGTGTTCATACTGTAGTGGGAGGTTCCATCCAGGCAGCTCTGGGGCCTGCACATTGCTAGGGGTTACTTAAATCTTGAATTGTGCCCTCACGTGGCGGGTGTCCCTAGTTTACAGATAGGGAAACTGAGGCACAGAATGATTGTGACTGGTCTGAGGTCACACGGGAAGGAAGTCTAGTAGAGCCAGGAATGATTCTCACGCTTGTGCCTTTATCACACCCTTTCCTGCCCCACCTCCATGCCCTCACCAGCCAAAGCCTGTAGCCCTGACACTTGATGCTGGTCACTAGAGCCCAGGGCCTGCCTAGCTGATGGAGTGTGTAGGGTGGGGGGAGATTGGTGAGAAACAGTAGCAGAGCATGCCAGTGGGGTAATGCCTCTCCAAGCTGCTGCTCAACCTATCTGTGAACAGAGTCTGGGGGCCAGCACGGCTGGTCTCTGATGCACAGACTGCACACAGCCAGCCTCTGGCAGCTCTTCCCTTGTCCTGCAGCTGAAGGAGGAAGGGTGGGGTGCTGACTGCAACACAAGGGGAAGCACCTGTGCTGGGAATGAGGTTAAATTGGGCGGGGGGATTCAGGGAGGGGAGGGGGAATGTGCTGCTTTAGAACAGAACTGTGTTTTTTATAAGTGGCCCAGCTGTCTGCACCGCTGGGTTTTCTTGGATTTGTAGCTGGCTGCGGTGACACCCTGGGTTTGAAAAAAGAACTGTGCATGTATTAAATCTACCAATGTTCCCAGACCAGCATCAGTGCTGTTTGTCAGGCCCGTGAGCCTGGGCCCCAGGGGAGAAGGACCTGCCCCTCAGCAGTCCTGGCCTGGGCTAGCACAGTCATGTTAGATGAGTACTGTTGAGTACCTCTTAGCAATCTGCTCTGAGCCTTCATCCTCAGCCCCAAAGCGAGTAGCAAAGAGGGCAGGGAATAAAATGCAGGCTGCTTTTGGAGGAGGGAAAAATTCGGGAGCCAGGGTCTTGTGCGACTCCAAGCTGGGTAGATGGAAGGGCCCTAAACTTTCAAACTACTGTCCTGCCTCTTCTGGAAGAACTAGCACAGAGTGTCCTTTAAAATGACTTGGTAGCTGCTGAGCCTATTGCCACTGTTTGCACCTGCTCCTGGGGCCCAAAACTGATCCCACAAATGCAGAAGGGGGGGGTCCCGCCTTCCCTGCTGCAGGCCAAGGGTCTAAGGCGTGCCTGTGAAGACATAGAGGTATCTGCCTCTTGCAGTTCCCTCCTTCCCCGGTCAATCCGCTAACTGAAGTGCTGCCAAGCAGGGTATGAAACAAAGTAATGTGGAAATGGTTTCCTGGCTCATAAAGCTTCCCCTTCAGGAGAGGGAGGAGTCCTAAAACAGCTTTCTTTCATTAGAAGACCAGGAATGTGCCCAGCTGCCTTTGGCAGTGCACAAGGGAAAGGAGAAAGCAGCCCTTAGTTCTCATTCTTGATTCTCCTGCTGCAGGATTTGAGTAGTGCCCCTGCCTGAAAGGTGTTCAGGGGATTAGCTCTGCTGCAGCCCCTAGGAGTGCTACCCTCCTTCATTCCCCTCTGGGTTCCTAGAGGCTGTATGGGTGGTGGCCACCCTAGACCGTGGGAGGCTGTGCCTCCCTAAACGGCCAGGCGTGGCTCTGAGCATGCTCTTCCCCCAGACCCCTTCCTGCTCTGCTGCTTGTCCTGGGCGGTGGCCCCAGCTCAGGCTGGGGCCATGCCTCCCAGGGCTGTGGCGGCTGCAGCCGCACTGCCCACCCTCCTGGGGCTGTGGGTACTAACCTGGGGCAGGGGCCAGCCTCCACAGTGGGGGACTATGGGCTCTGATGTGGAAGGGGTGGGGCTGGGAGCTAGCCTCCCCCCAGCCCGTGGTTCTTGCGCTGCCCATGACAGACTCCTTGCTGCTAATGCAGCTCCTGCTCCTCCTCCCCTCAGCACACAAGTCTTCAAGCAAAGTCCTTGGGAGAGGGTTTACTCCCCCTGGTGCTCACACGAAACCACCACTCCCCCCAGGTAGTTCTCACCCTGAAGATAAGGGCCCTACTTACATCATTACCATTGTGTTCACCACTGTCACGACCTCACCCACAAATTGCTGTCTAGTGTGGCTGACTCAGAATGTTAACAGTATTGTAGCCATGTCAGTCCCAGGGCATTGGGGGTGGAGTGGGGTTAATACCTTTCATTGGACCAACTTCTGTTAATGAGAGGCACGAGAGTGAAAGCTTGTGTCTAGGGGTGTTAGTGAGAGTCTCATGGTCTGTGATGAATTCAGTGAAACCCCAGCTCCTGGAATCATATGAATATGGGAGAATCTCAGCTGACCTTTAAAACAAGGGTCAGTTTCTAGCCCTCCTCCGTGGGGAGAAAAGCTGGAATGTGGCTCCTAGAGGCTGGGATGGAAACACCAGAAGGTCAATGTATAGAACCTGACATTTTTAAAGTCGCAGGATTTTGAAGGGCCTGATTTGTGATTCATGATTGGAAGCCTTAGGGTTCACAATAGAGTATCAGCAAGTGTTGCACAAAGTTCCTGCTGGAGTAGAGAGGGGCAAATAAAAATTTGGTGAAAAGTAAATGTGCCCCAAAAAGTTCATGGGGAGGGGCTCTGCACCTACTCACTAATCGGGGTCAAATTCAGCCAGTAGTTTCACCTGGAATGTGTTTGGAAAAGTCACGGTTGGGTTTGGTTGGACATTTTTTTAAATGACCAGTTTTGACATTCCATTGTGAATTGACATTTTCCGAACAATGTTTTGCCATGACATTTTTGAAATGAAATGTCGATTTAAATCCGTGTTTTGTTTAAAAGTGTTGATTTGACTCCCCGGTCAGTGTTTCATGTGACCTGAAACTGGGTTTTTTTAGGTTTTCATTTTGGGGTGGAAAAACTGAAGCAATCGGGTTTTTTTTTGTTTTGGCCACCTAACTGAACCATCAACTATTGCCCTGCTCTGTCCATGAGTGTATTCCCTGTAAACCTAGCCCCTGGGCATGTGCTTCCTAATCTACCAGGGGGCTCAGCCAGAACTCAAACACTTCCAGATATAGCCCTCCCCCTAATCCACAGCCAGCCACAAACATCATCCTAAACTGCTCCACCCTGAGCACTTCTCCGGCCCCTCCCTCACTAACCCCACAAACTGCTGACACCCCTCCCCCCCAAATCCTTCCCCTAATCCACTGCCCCTGGGGTCTTCACCACAATTTCCTCCTGAACTCTCTGCCCCTCCACTCAAGTGCTCCCCCTTCTTTTTGGAGTAGCGACCCCATGGGTGCTGCACTTCAGGTGTGCGTCTGCATGTGCCCCTCAAGCCCTTATTGGAGAGTTCTAGCTACTGGTGCCCATTCAGCCCACACGTGCCCCCTAAGCCTCCTTGTGGCAGACATAGAGGCTATATACAGGTGCATAGGCAAACCGCCCTCAGTTTCTTCCCTACCACCTCAGCCCAGGACAGAACCTTGGTGTGTCCGCCTAGAGTGCTCAGCCTTCTCTGTTTGCTGTGGCCGTTAGTTTAGAGTGGTTGCTAGTTGGAGGTAAGAGGGACCCTTGGGACCCTTGTCTTCTGGAGGACTCTTCCTCTGGTACCGGTGGGCCCGTAAAGGCCTGGGGCTCCAAGGAGAGGCAGCACAGCTGATAGTGCTCCTGTGCTCTCCACCACTAAGGAGGGTAAGCACAAGGTACCACTGAGCTCGGTCCCATCAGCACTGAAGCGTCCTGCTCAGCCATGGGTGCTGTGACACACCAGTCATAATTACCAATGCAAGCTCAGCTGGGGGTGCCTGGACCCTCTGTACCAAGCAAGCATTGGTGTTTGACACTCACAAAGCCTGTAGTATGCTCATTACTGGCACTGGCAGCTCCAGCCACAGCAGCCTCAGGTATGGTGTCAGTACCAGGGTCCTGTCCAGTACCACAGAAGTTCTGATACTCGAGGGATTGCTCAGTGTTGGATGAACCAGAGTCCCTGTTGCTGTCAGGTACCGAGCATCTCGTGGTACCAAGATCTCGGTCTCTGAGTGGCTGCTCCCTGGCAGAGGTTTCTCCTCTGTCCTCAGTGGCTGCTCCCCCATGGGAATATTTTGAGGAAAAAGAAGAGGATTCCGTTGGTCTCCTCAAGTTCTGTTTGAGGTTCTCCTACCTAGCCCTGTAGGAACCTGCCCTCGCACAGTGAGGACTCTGTGGCTCATCAAGCATGGTGGAATCAGCCCTGTACACAACTTCTGCTCCCTTATAGACCCCCACAATGACCATATTGGGACCCGTGGGCTGCTTATCTGCAACAATCCAGTAAACTACTGGTACTGTCCTTTAGGGAGACCGGGGTTCCACATCTTCCCTCTACCCTTCCAAGGCAGGAGATGTTGGAGGGCAGATGAGGAAGTCACCCCTGAAACTCCCATTTTGTTGTTGCCGCTGGATGAGGCACTCAAGCTTCCCCCTCTTTCGATGAAAATTTCAGGTCCTCATTAGAAGGGTAGCGAGTGCCCTACAGATCCCTCTGGAGGATGTCAAAGACTAGCAGCACAGGCTGCTTGATATTTTGCACTTAGCAACACCCTCCAGAGTGGCACTACCTGTCAATGAGGCTCTCCTGGATCCAGCTCAGACAGCATGACAGAGGCCATGCCACCAACATGCAAAAGGGCAACAAGTAGTAGTATGTGCCCTTAAGGACTCAGACTTTGTTTTCCCATCAGCAACCTAACTGCCACATGATGGATGCTGTGAATGAGCAGGATAGGCAGTATTTTTCAAGGGCTACCCTGTGACAAGGATCAGACTTTCATGCAAAGAGATCCAGTCTTTCCTTACTCGTCCCCAATATTGAAGTTCTGCATCACGCGCTATCAGGTGGCCATGGCCAAAAAAACTTAACTAATTACAAGAAGTTTACAGCCTTTATTAAACATCTGCCATGTGACTGTAGGGAACCATTCCAGTCTATTGTTGCGGCGGGTCAACTGATGACCAGACCAGCTCTCCAAGCATCCTTAGCTGTTGCGGATACAGCTGCCAGGTCTATCTCCACGGTGATAGTTATGCACAGGGAGTCATGACTCCAACTTTCAGGATTTCCAATAGAGGTTCAAAACACAATAGGTGACCTCCCCTTTGATGGTCATAAACTCTTCTCAGAGACCACAAATGGCTCCCTGCTCACGCTTAAGGACACCAGGGCTACCCTACATTAGTTGGGTGTTTACAGGCCTACAAGCAAGAACCATTTCAGTAGGTCCCAGACTGCCCAAAAATCATGCCCTGCTCAGTTCTCAAGGCACCAAAGACCCAGGGAACTCCACAGAAACAGACAGATTTCAGAGGAAGAGGGCCACCCTCTGCAACCACCCAGGTGTCATCTAAACAGCAGCTTTGGTGGGTTGAATGAAGGTTCAATTCCTTCCATTCCTCTGATTTTACAGTTACACCCTCACTCCCTCTGGGGACCATGTTGTCCATTTTCACCAGGCCTGGGAGCGGATCACCATAGACCAATGATGGTCATAACATCAGGCAACACCACCCAGTTTTTGCCACTCCCTTTCACACCCATTCCCTGTCCCTCTTCAGGTACCCTCTCATGGTCTTCTACTAAGGCAAGAGGTGGACTCTCCTCCAGCTAGGAGCAATAGAGCCAGTCCCTTCCCCTCACAGGGGTAGCGGGGGGGGGTCTATTCATAATATTTCCTAGTACTGAAAAAGGACAGAGATTGGAGGCTACTCTTAGATCTAAGACAGTTGGACAAATTTGT